ATTTGGATTTATTAAGAATATTGGAATTTTATAGTTCGCTCTTAAGTAGGCAGAAGTAGTCAGCTTGGTTTTTCATAGGACATTCCTCATTTTTTTTTCAATTTTCAAAATAATTTTGTTTTGTTTTAATTCCATAAAGTCCATAAAACGAATAAAATTCGTAGACTCGTGGGATGTCCTCCATGTTACTTCTAGGTTCACTATTTTTTCAAAAAAAATCTGCTCACCCTTCTCTATAGGGACTATACAACAGATGTAAGATGGCACTACTTTTATATAATTCTATTTGTCTAATTTGGGTCGAGCCTGAACCTTGTTAAAATCAAAAATAAACAATAAAGACAAGATATCTTATTTTTCTCACTGCCGTCCTCAGGGCAACACCATATAGCTGTGAAATGTTGGTGTCCTGGTGATTTCGTTGTGCCGCTAGGAAATTTCATTTAAAATTTAAAAGCATTTTTTAAAATTTGTATTTTGATCCCAAGATGTTAATCATCAAGTCTATATAGAATCAAATGATTTGACTATCACATGATGATCCATAAAAATAATCTTCCATTAAAATTCATGCTGAAATGTCTTTACCTTGATCCAAATTAAATAATATGCAGTAAATGAAAGTTTTATGAATTTTTAACGATTCTCAGATGTTCACTTTAGATTTTCATTTACTTTCTCTTCTTTTCTTTCCTCTTCTTTCACTATCCATACACAACAATGAGTGATCTATGTCGGCATAATCTTCACAATCGGCTTTAGATTAACGAAAATTATAATAGAGTCATTACTTATGCTCGAAAGAAATTTGTTTATTTCGTAACTTTTAAAAGCCGAAAATGTAATTTCTCGCCCGCAATATCCTGTGGATGAGAAAATAGGAAGCATTTATTCAATTCTATTGTGTGCTCATCTTGCTGTTTATTGTATTAAATTTCAAATATTTCGCATTGATATTGTCCGATATGTCTTAGGTTTCATAATCTTCTTAGATGCTTTTTTTATTTATAATTTGCTCATTTTCTTTTTGGTTTTGAAAGAATTTTTAACTTTTATTGTTCGAGGAATTATTCTGAGGCTTTTGAAGATTTGCCGGTTTGTTGCTGTGGTTTGGCTACTGTTCAGGAATCTTTTTAGCGATTTAATTTGAATTTAAAACCATAATCTAAAAACATAATCCAATTCCACGCCATTTTCTAAAAAACCAATTTGTTTAGCCATATTTTAATATTTAAATTTACATCAATATTCACTCAAATCCTGTTATTTTATTAGGGGTTGATGATACGTTACATCAACGACTCTATCTTTTAATTAAAATGTATTTTTCATGAGAACCATAAACTGATTAAATAATATGACAAACAAAATAGTTTATATGACAATGTTGTTGAATATAATGTAGTCATGTTTAAAATTAATACATTGAATAGTCTCGGTAGGCCATAGACATGTGGTTTGTTGTTGAAAAAGTTGTTGAGATTCAATTGGATTTTTATGAGGGAAATGTGTAGTGACAGTAATTTTGTTTGGAATTTGGATGAGTTTTTTGAGCAGTTTTGAAATAAAAATGACTCATTATAGTTTCAAATTGTTCGGCTGGTTGGATGGGCTCAGAGATCTAGGGAAAGAGGCATTGTATACAGCTCTGGTTTTTTAAATTTACGTTTTGCAATCGAGTTATTTCAGTATCGATTTGATTGGTAGCTTAAAACACTTTGTTTACAATATAATTAATGATTTTTAAAGTTTTGTTAAGTGCAACCTACGAAAATTTCGTTTTACCTCTATAATTTAAACCTCTGTAATTTCAAATCCTTAAAAATTCGTTATAATTTTGAATTTCAAAATACTGTTGAATGAACAAAACACTTTTATTCAAAGCATTATTTATATCAGTGATGGTCAACCTAGGTGCCGCGGCACACTAGTGAACCGTGAATAATTTGAGTATCTTACTAACCGTATGCTCTATGCGGTTTTGGTCATGGCTTAAGACTAAGTGTGCCGTGGAACACAAAAAAGGTTGAACACCACTGCTTTATATTAAAGGTTTTGTGCCTTAGAATTATTGAATTTCATTAGTTTACTATCCAAATACTTATCATTACTACACAAAACTGCGCTTTAGCCCATCGATTAAAAACATGAGGACGTTTGACATTGTTTTTAAAATTAGAATAAGAAAAATAGTGAAAAAACACAAAAAAATGAAATTTTAAGATTATTTCAAATTTAAAATCCCCTTTAAAAAATCCTAGCTTGCCTCAATGACACTTAAGCAAATACCTCAATGATTAACTTTTTGAAGAACTTCCTTTTCCAATAAAAAATAAAAAAATTATTTCCTATCCTATTTCAAAGGCATACCGATATCTCGCAATCTTTCTACCTCAAAAAGGATTTAAACAAATAAAAAATAAATAAATATAAAATGAGACAAAAAAAACAAACAAATAAGGGAATCAGGAAGATAAATCAATGCAATTTTAAGAGTTTGTCTCCAAAAAAGTTTACAGTTAATTTACTTTTATTGATGATCTTTATTACCTAATCTCATTTTCCGGTTCTGTTGATGTATTTATTTGCTTGTGATGATCAAGAATAATCCAAAAAAGATAAATATCTTGTTGTTGTGTGCTAGTCGAATTAATTGAGTAAAAATTGCTTCAAGCTCTTTCTCAACAACAACAGAAATTTCCGAAAAAAAATATAAAGAATTAAAAAAATTTAAAATCTATAAATAAAGTTTTTCATTTTATTTTTTTGGTGGATATTTTTTTGTTTTCTCTTCTCAATTTCTATTTGATTTAGAGGTTAATCGGTGAAATATAGGCCATGGGTAAATAAATTAATTTTGATTCTCCTTCTTCTTTTTCGTGATGTTTACTATAAATTTTATGATAGAAATTGTTTACAACTTTAATGACAGTTTTGAGATTTTTTATTGGAAAATTTTAAGATAAAATGTTTTATTTTGTTTTGTTGAGAAATTTCTGGAAGTTTGTGGAAAACACCAACTCAACAGATGACGCTTAAAAGAATTTATTTTTTTATATCACCTAAAATAAAATTTATGGATGTTCACATTTATCTCAACTGTGAGTGGTCCATGACAGTAAAACTGTGACGATCGCGTGGAGGAAATTTTCACTAGCTTGTGTTAATGACAAAAATATCGAAAGGATCTATAAAATCTGAATAAAAACAAATTCTTTATTTAATTTTAAAATGTAGTAAATAAGTTGTTAAATGGCAGGAAACTAAAATGTTTATTTGCAGTGATGAAAATGAAGCTGCTACAGTGTTGTTTTTGAAAATTTATTTTAATAGCTTTTTATAGTCGATAGAAAATTGTTTTAAATATGTAATGAGTTTTCAAATTTTCTATGTTTTTGTAAGCTGTAGATTTAGATTGACGACCAGATTGCAATTTATTGATGAATTTTAGATTAAAATGTTTTGAAATTGAGGATTTAGAATGTTTTGATAACATTGCATTTATTGATTGGATTCATGTTGATTTATAGACGCAAAATGAATCATTTTTCGATATTCAGTAAACTTTAATATTTAATTTATGATTTAAATTTGATTTTTAAGACCAGCAATTAAGTTCATAAATCTAGCAGTCAAAACATTAATTCATTACCTTCCAAAAATACTCTCAATCCACAGTTGCCATGGAAGACATACCTTCCCACACTCTCTCAAAAATATCAAAAAAAAAAAATAAGCTAATACTTGCGATGAAATATTTTGATCTCTCGCTAATTTATTTTCTCCATATTTCATCATTTCCTTTGAAAATGCGATTCTTTTAATGAAAAATTATCGTTTTTTGGAATTTATTTGATATTAAAAACAGCTCCTCCTCCTTTTTTGACTGCTTGCCAGCATGAAATTCTTTAAAATAGGGGACGAGACTTCATAACTCTTAGACAAGTCTATAACTTTAGTTGAGAATATAAACTTTGTGCAGTTGATGTTGCATTGGATGAGTCAATGAATTGCTACAATGATTGCCAATTTGGGTTGTGAATAAATATTTGAAAATCAAGTTTTATTTAAATTATTGAAGATTATGTGAATTCTCCTTATCAAGTTCAATGAACTTACTTCTATAAATTAACATAAGCATTAAATTAAAATGTCCACCTACTTTATAAAATTTAAGTCATTTTTGTTTATATTCTTAAATATTTTGCCAATTATAATCTCAAATCTTCTTTCTCAATCCATAAGAAATTTAAATAAGAATTCAAACTACGATAAAATATATGAAATATAACTAATCAACAATTTTATTTGACTAAATGTTGACTACTTGAATTTTTAATAGTCTCTTTAGCCCTCAAACTCACCTATTCGCCGATTTGAACTGTCAAAATATTCTTAAAGAAAAATGTGATAAAATTTTTACGACAACTGCGAAGAGAAGAGTCAAAAAAGTTAGAAATTGAATAAAGGAAGACGTAAGAAGAAGATGTAGACTAAATTTGAAGGTAGGAAGGCATGTTTTTGAGAGCATTTGGGTCAATTCAGAGAGAATTTTACGAAATTATGACAAATTTTTAGAAATATTAGTGAGATTTTGATGACTTCGTGTAGCCACATGATTAAATCCCTGATAAGCTCCAATGCTTAAAATCCTCTCTATTCCTATGTTCTTTTAATAACAGAGTGTCCTAAAACAATACGCTTCACTAGATTCGAGTGAAAAAGGCCGTCTTCTTCATTGCATCCTAGAAATCTAGTGTTATCATCAACATGTAACGATTGTGAGACTTGCTTATTGAAGGAATCAAACTCTTGTCCTCAGTTGAATAAAATGTGATCTAATTTTAATCTATTGCCTATATCCGTTTAGCCACAGAATCATTACAATCGACAAATTCACTTACATAAAGCTTCACATCCTAAATCCCATTCTGGTATGACAACAAGTAGCTCTATACCTGAAATCAACAAAAATTAAATGAAAAAGATAAAAAATGTCCGCCTTTAGTAATTTTTCATCATTTTTTTTTTTTTATTTTTCAATGAAAGTATCCGCATGTATGTTTATAAACTTATCATCATTATAATTATAGCTGCAAATCTGTTACACATAAAGAATCAAATTTTTCAATTTGCTCATTGACTTAAAAATATTTTGAGCATTCATGTCTGCCGTACATTTATTATCTGCAATATTTAAAGTTGATATATTTTTGGACAGCGACAAGAATGTGTTCGCATCCGGATAGAAATCATCAATTTTATTATATTGTAGATTCAGCTCTTGTAGATTAAGTTTAAGGAACGTATCGGCTTGTAGCTCACATAATTCATTATTTTTAAGATTCAAGATCTTGAGGTTCGATAATGTCCTAAATGACTCATTATTGATGTTCCTTAAATGATTCTTACTTAAGTCTAATTTTGTGAGTTTTGTTGAGGCTTGAAACAATTCGGATGAGAAGCTCTTAAGGCGATTATCATTTAAGTACAAGATCTTAAGATTCTTGCAATTTTTAAACGAGTCTGGATGCAATGAGAAAATTATATTATGGCTAAGATTTAGTTCCTCAAGTGCTGATTGGGTCGCAAATTGTTTATTGCAAACGATTGTGATTTTATTGTTGTCTATGAGGAGACTTTTGAGTTGCTTTAATGGTCGGAAAGTTTCCCAATGAAGGTTTGATAAGTCATTGTTGCTGAGATTAAGAGTTTCTAAGTTCCCGGGACCAATAAAGGCATCCTTGTCGATTTTTTCTATTAAATTATTCTCAAGATTGATCTCTTTAAGCTCCAGTGACCGTCTAGCGATTTTTGCAGGAATTATTTTAAGTTTATTGTCACTAAGATTGAGAACCTTAAGATGCACGAATTCTGAGAATAATTCAGATGATATTTCCCTAATTCCAGCTTGCTCAAGATTCACAATCGAAAGATTTTGGAAGCGATGAATATATTTCGGAATGGTACGATAATTGTCAGCTTTGATATGTAAATATTTAATATTCTCTTCACGGAGATGTTGTGGATTAATAGTCACTTGATTCTCATGTGCAATTGAAATTTTACACGAGTCACCGTGCCTCGTATGTGGATAATACCAATAAGTACACCGAAATCCCATCACATCTGCCATATTACGAAAATCTTGACTCACACAGACATTATTGGTCGCATTAAATTGCTTCAAATTCACGAGTTCGTCTTTAAACTTTTCCTCAATAAACTCAATGTAGTTGTCAGTCAGATGAAGATATTTCAGATTTTTAAGACATTTAAATGTTTCCGTCTCGAGACGTTGCAGTAAATTATTCTCTAATGTGAGCACTTCCAATTTTAAAACAGGCTTGAATACATCCTCAGTTAAAGATGCAATTTTGTTGTAACTAAGGTCAAGGTCCTTTAGATCGACTAAATATTCAAATGCCAAGTCATCTATATCCTCAATTTCATTGTGACTCAAGTCTAATTTTTTAAGGCTGAAAAGATTTTTAAAGTTGCCGGGTGGAATTGATGTGATTTTATTTTCGGAGATGGTTAGGGTGACTAGATTCTGAAGATCTTGGAAGTTTGGGACTCTCATCAATTTGTTGGATGTCATTGATATTGTATTGACATTCTCAAGCTCAATAAATGCTTCTGGATAGCAAATTGCAATTTCATTGCACGACAAATCCAGCTTCTTTAATTTTGATGTATTTTCGAATGTCTCAGCATGAATCCTCTTCAACTTATTGACCGACAAGTCGATATCCTCAATTGACAACAAGCTTCTAAATTGCTTCCCCGAAATCTCTTCTATACAATTATTATTAAGGTTCAGCTTCTTAAGCGTATTTGTGAGCAAAAATAGATTCTCGGGTAATGAGCTGATTGCATTCTCCGACAAATTAATGACTCGAATGTTATTTAATCCCTTAAACGCTCCCGACATGATTTGACAAATTTTATTAGATTGCATGTAGAGCTCTCTGAGACATTTCTGGTGACGAAATAAATCGACACTTATTCCCGTAATTTCATTGTTGTTTAAATACAAATTTTGAATCGATGCCAATTTTAGGAAGGCTGAATTGTGTATCTTTGAAAGACTATTTCTCGATAAATTTAGTGATTCTAAAAGTGTTGTTGTTTGTAAAAGCTGACAATGGATTATCGTCAGCATATTCTCTTCTAATGATAGTGACTTAAGGTTGATTAAATTTTTAAATGAGTCTGGCTGGATTCTGAATATTTTGTTTGTCTTCAAATCTAGCTTGTTAAGGTTCTTTAAGTTTCTAAAGATTACGTCATTAATTGAGTAAATGCTATTGTTTTCCAACATCAATGACTCCAGTTTGTCTAGATCTGCAAATGTATTTGGATAAAACTCGGTTAGGGAATTCTTGCGAAGACTAAGTCGCTTTAAATTTGCTAGTCCTTGAAATGCAGATTCATCTATTTCCATTATCTGTAATGAGAAAGTTTTAGAAAAATTTTAATTAATTTTTTTTTATAGACCGCTTTCGATATTCATGACAATGTCACGTGTGATGATAAGACAGAACCTCATACTATAGATTTAAAATAGCTAGAACTTTAAATTACTTTCTTCAACCTTGAAAACATACAAAGTATCTCAAATTAAACTCAACTAAACTTCATCAAAACCGCAACCTTTAAACTTCGATTCAAGGCTTCTCTTATTCTTTCATTCTTAGTCCAAAATTAGACTACATTGTTTTGTTTATGGATACAATTTCTATCACGTAAGAAACCCATGGAAAATTTTTCCTTTCCATTTTTAACATCCCACATAATAAATAAATATTTTTGTTGATCGGTTAAAGATGAGCAGGCATATCTCTTATTACTGTGTAGCTATGTGCTCTATTTACCTACAAAAAATAAATCTCATTTCTCAAATTTCCGTTGAGGATTGGTAAATATGATGTCCAATAGAGGAAAACATGAATCAGAATTTTCGGAATCTCTACTCGACTTTGGAAGGGTTTCCGTGCCTTTAAAGTCCACTAATTTAAAATTTATAATAAGAAAGCACTTATGACAACTCAATATATACTTTAGTAATCTAATAATCAAGAATCAGCCATATCATGACTATAGAACTACCCGGATATCCCACATCAACACCTTTACTTATATCAAAGCCGAGCAAAGCATTTGTTTACCCAATTAATCTTCAACAAGTCCCATAATTCACATCCCATTTAGATTAGATAAAGATCAGCCCGATAAATTTAACGACTCATTATATTCAGCACATCTTAAAAAAACTTTTTAAGCAAGTCAAAAATCTCATTTAATTAAGTCCACGATATATTTTGATCAACCACTACAATCATACTAGTAAAAAATAAATAAACAAGCAATTATCTCAGCCGCAAATGAGTCTTGCTTGACAGTGGTGTAGCTAGGGATGTGACTAGCTTCAGTAGGAGCAAAAATCTACATCTGAATGGTTTAGAGGACTTTTTTTTTTCAAGGGGATAACAACATTAGGGGAAAAGTTTCAAATAGAAATTTCAACCGAGCAGCAATGCTTGCTAAGCTTGATCTTAAGAAATTGAATTGAGCACCCTTCCAGGGGAAAAAATTATAATAGAAAATTGATTGATAATAACTTTCCCCATCAAGCTATTTCCCCCCTAGCCACACCCCTGTCCCAAGCCATTAATGAAATGATTGGGAAATGAATCTCACAAGTACACTGAACTGTATGTTATGATCATTAGATCATTTAATTTATAGCTTTCATGAAATATCCTCACCTGATTATTTGTAAACGAAATATCTGTCAGATTTTCACATTCTTTGAATAATTTACGTGGCAATTTTCTCAATTTATTGCATGACAAATCGAGATACTTGAGCTGAACCATATCCTTAAAATGTCGATATGTTATGGTGCTCAGACTAACGTTAATTAGATTTAATGTAGTGACATTCATAAACTTATCGAGAGCATTTCCTGGGAGTGTTGGAATTTTTTGACTATTGGCAGCAAATAAAAATTCAACCGTTTGACGTTTGATGTCTGCTGTATTTTTATCTGCTTCTTCATCTTTGCGCATGGATAATTCACAGCAAATTCCATGTGCTGTTGAGTGATATAGATTGTAGTGAAGTCTAGATCAAGAGAGATTTATTTTTTAGATTAATTGATTTTTTTAAGGCACACTGAACTTTTTTTCAATTATAGCATCAGAAGATTTAATGGCAGTCGTTGCAGGGTTGTGATTTTTGAGATTTTAAAAGAACAACTCAGTTATGATGTCCAATAAAAAAAATGAATCACATCCTTTTGTCGCGAAACTGTGACTAGGTATAGTCCTTTTGGGAACTGGTCCCAAAAGCTATATTATTTATACAAAGTCACCAAAAAGAACATGCCGGCATTCAAATTAACAGGTTTTATGAGAAACAGTGACATATTATGGGTAGTTGACTTTATTATCACCAGCGACAAGGGGTATACGATCAAAAAATGGCAAGTTTCACTTATCCTTACATGTTGCTCGGGCTTAATTAATGATTATTTAAACAAAATTCACTGATGCACTTTTTTAACAGTCTATTAAATCACAAAGTCTGTAGGATATCCAATAAAACACAGTAAGCACAAGATTTTTTATGCCCGAGCAACAAATAAAAATTATTCATTGAATTTGGCTCTTTTATAAATTTTGAAAGTATAACGCACTTAACTAGTAAGTTGTAGAGAATAATTTGAGAAGCACTGGTTGAAAACTAGTTAAAATAAATTCAGAGATGGATTATGAATATTCAACAGAAGTCTAGCTAGAAACTTTCTTTTGTTTTGTTAAAAAATCTCTAGAACTTTACCGTCGGAGGAGGTTTTGAATTCTCTACGCACTAGTATCTAGTCCTTACAATGTTTTCCAAAAACACCAAAATATTCTCCGATTGAAAATAATCCTAGCTTCAACATCTCACTGATGATTTTAAACAACTACACTACCCCCAGCACCTTCAGTCGGAGGCAACCTGTGTTTCACGGTCCACTACACTACATTCAAGGATGCTCAGATTGAATGTGAATAAATTTCCTTGAGTCAATTTGTGCCGTGACACAAAAAAGGTTGTCCACCCCTGTTCTACATGAATAAAATTTTCATTTTCATTAATATGCTCCTAGAAAAATCATGTGGAACACAACACGTATGCCAAAAAAAAATTCATTCAAGGCTTTCAAGATGTTTTTCACTGCAGTTCCATTGTGATCTCCGTTCAAAGAAAAAAACACGTGGTGTGAGTTTTTTTTTGAATGGCACTACAGGGTCACAATAGCTAATCACTCTTGACTGCTATTAAGCTTCTGTGCTATTTAGAAAATAAATATATCACTTAATTACTTTAAATTACTGTTATTCCCGTTGTTATTCATTCGGATTCGAATTTTTTGATATAATATTTTTTATCAAAAATTTTTTTCTTCTTGTTCAGGCTTTAATTTTATTTTTTAATAGAAATTATAACTTTTTTTACACTTTAATGTCTAGCAGACACATCGGAACGAGTCAAAAACCACCGAGAGACTGAATAATTTTCTTTTTTCGCTCACTTAAAAAAGAGATGACGGTCGAACGCGCGAGAAATTTTTGTTTCAAATGATAAGAATAACACAATTTAATGTTTGAAAAAAGAATATCTTTTTTTTTGGATAATTGCCAGGAAATTCCTCTATTTTTCCTTACCATTCATAAACTTGAGAATGATTATTTGGGGCGAACAAGCGAGCAGGCAAACGATCGAAGAGAGAATGAAAATGAAAATTTGTTCATCATTCAATACTTTTACGAAACGACTACAGCTGTTTTTCATCGAACTTTGTGAATGAACTCGCAACTTTTCGCAAGCTGAGAGTTTTTTTTCTTCTGTGTTTTAATAGAAAAAGTTTTTCTGGCTTTTCTTTTTTCAGTGTTCGTGAATTTTTTTTTTGTATTTTCTTCTTTCTGCTTTGCGAATTTGAAATAATATTTTTTTGTTGCTTGATTGTAAGGCTGCAAGAGGTGATCTGAGGATTGAGAAAATGTTTAAAAAAATCTATTTCAATCGTTAGCATTACTGTCTTACGGCTCCTTACGTTTTGGCTGTAGTGCTGATAAAGTTTTGCTTGATATGACCCAGGGGCGTAGCCAGAAAATTTTTAAGGGGGGGCCTATTTTCGAAAATTAAAAACCCGTTATTTTGTATCCTTAAATCCATATTCATTCTTCATAAGTTTAAATATTTAATTCATTATTCATACATTAAATTTAATTTTTCGTGCTGATTTTGACATTTCTTTCAATGGGGGGGGGGCCCTATGGCTACTAATTCTTATCATTGAAAACTAGCGTTATCTGTGACCTCTTGAATGTTATTTTTTTTCATTTTAATTGCACTTAATTGCATTTATTGACGACATACTGTCCGGTAATAATTCACATTTTACACTTTAGTATTTGTATACATATGAATTAGTATTATGTAGGATCAAACTTCTAATCTTTAAATCTAGGTTTCAAATAAACTAAGGCTCTCGTTTCGATCTTCTGTAGGCGTGACGTGATACTTTTCAGGTCCGTTCTAACAATATTCCATTCGTGGGTAATCTTGTAGCTCTCGTTCCTATTTTTCCCGCTACACTTCAAGTTCCTGACCCGTTCCTTAATCCAACGTTGCCAAAATGCCCAATTATGGCTTGATCTCCTACATTAAGCAGTCGAAGTATCTAAACTTCCGAAAAAGAATTAATTTGGAAATGGCTGGATTCGAACCGACGACCTTCGAGTTACCATCCCAAATTTGAGCCAAGCGCCTTACCTATTCGATCAGCAAGGCACTTAACTGCTAATTAATTGACTTCAGCCATTAAAAAATACATGTTCTAAGTTTACAATGATCAGAGTGCTTAAATCAATGAACTTCCTCAATTGGCTTGTTATTAAGGTTTTAGGATAGGCTTAAAATTCTGTCCTTAGTTTTTTGAGAAACTTTCCTCTAAATGAGTGAAAATCCTTTGTTTTGATTAAAGGCATATCTAAACGATCCCTTAAGGGGTCGTTCACTTATTACGTTACGCAAAAAAACGACTTTTTTCACCCCCCCTCCCCCCTTGTTACAATATGTTACAACTCACAACCCCCCCCCCCCTGAACGTTCATAATTTATTTTATCATTAAAAAGGTGGAACATTTAAAAAAATGTTTTTGGTGTGAATTTTCGTGAACTTTTTTTTAAAAGACAGACGACAGTTGGAACGTTACATACTTCTTGACACCCCCCCCCCCCTTGTTACAGTTTGTTACAAATTTTCAACCCCCCCCCCCCCCCCTCCTAAAATGCGAACGTAATAAGTGAACGGCTAAGTCATATTCTATCTTTTAGTAGTTACTGTTCAGTTCCTGTCAATACAAATTTGAATATTCAACAAGCACTTCAGACCAAAACCCATGCCTGCTTAGAGAGAAGACAAAAATTGTTTTTCATGATGTATTTGTTAAAAAAAAAGAAAGCAATTTAAAGTGTGTAGCTACACACACTCTAAAATAAATAAAAAATTAATTCTATGAAGGTCACAAGAATAGAGAAAAATAAAATCACGTAAAAAAGAATCAAGCGTTGTAAAATCAAGCACAAGAAAAAAATTGTGAGGATTATTTTACGAGAGATTTATTTCAAGAGCATTCATGGCGCTTAACTAAGGTAATTGAGAGAAGAAAAATCTCGGTTATGAATGAATTGAGTTTGTCGCGTGAAGTTTAAACATCCTTTGTGTCTATACGTAGCTTTCAAGTGACTCACGATCACTGCATCTTGTCTCTCATAAATTTTACATTTTCTCATTTATTTGCTTGCAAGATTAAAGCAATAAAACTGTTTATTTTACATACAATGCAATTAATCTCGGTGAGTAATTGAAAAAGTTTTTCGGTCTATAAAACATGTTCCTTAATAGTTCGACGTCAGACAAGCAGAAAAATAGGCGGAAAATTTTTCTTTAATTACAAATGAGCTGTGGAAAGTGAAAATTGAATTTTTTAACTGTAATGAGTCACGATTTGTGCTGTCAATCATGTCATGACGAAATAAACATTATGTGACACTGGCCTAAAGTGACAAAAACAAGTCGATTCTTTTAAAAATGTTATTTACGACGAATCTAGGCGATTAGTAGTAAATTTTTGCTTCTTTTTGTCTGTGACACGAATTTTTTTTAATTTTATGTAGTTTAGAGGCACAAGGATGCAAATCTTTTGTTGTTTACTTGTTTGTTGATGTTAATGAATGTGATATTGTGATAGAGACGGTTTAATACAATGTGTTTATGTCAAACGCCGGTTGACAATGAAATATATGAGATTAGAGATCACAGGTGATGATTACAAGCTCTTTAATCATGATTTTGACAATCAAGCAACTTATTTAGATGCCTTAAATTACTGGAATCTTAGATATTTACTTCACTATCTCCGTTAAATGAAGCTAAACTGTCAAAGAGTACTAAACCAGTTTCAACATCCAGTAATCTGCAATAAAATAATTAAATTCACCTAAATTCAAGGCGTGGAAACTATGAAAATATTAATACTATCCCGAAATATCCCAATATTACATGAACTATCCCAATTATCCTATCATGATGGATGTTAGTTTTTGATTCCAAACATGGCCTATTACCCACTGGATCTATGGTTTTGGTTCTAAATATGACTTATATAATCTTGGATCTTAGTTTTTGGTTCCAAGTATGACTGTTATGTTACTGGATCTTTGGTTTTGGTTCCAAACATGACCTAGCTATATGTAACAATAGAAGTTTAATTATTTAAGGGCGAACAAGCATCCGCAGTGCCGGTTAATAAATTAAAGGGTTTTGAAATTACACATTGCTGGCTTTGCATAGGATATAGGTGGTATTGAATGTTTTTGACTGGTGCACATGGTACCGAATTGTAATTTGCATATTAACACAAAACTGGACCAGTTGTGGGCTCTTAACTGCTAGTGGTTAATATGACAGAAATTTAAACAAATAAAATCAGTATATCCCTACTTGCAATTTATAAATTTTAAACAAAATGAAATATTTTGATTCAAAAGGAAAAAAATTTGTATTGAAAACTTCAAAATTTACTTCAAATATATTGTACAGAGTCGAATCAACTCATGTTGACTAATTTCTGGTCATTTGGTGTGAACAAGTTTCTTTGGTTCTTTAATTTCTATTTAATTAAAATAACTTATTAACATTTATAATTCATAAATTAAGGTTATTTTTGGTGCAGTTAAACTTAATAATTTATCAATCAGGCAAATAATTAAGGTTGAGTCGATTCGAGCTCTGGTATTTAAAAAAATAGTTTAGAATGATTAATTTTGTTTGGAATTTGTCGAAGAAGCTGGCATGAAAAATTATTCTAAAACTGAAATTTTCGATTACTAAAATCTTTTTTTTATAAACCCGTAATTCCGGGATTGAAAATCCTGATTTCATTTTACAAGCAAAATTTTTATTTTCATGGGTCCAATTTTTTTTTCAATTTCAACTTTAATTTTTTTGAAGCTGGTTTAGATCGAAGAAACTTTAAGTGAATGTTATTACCTTATAATTAATAACGCTTCTAATCAATTGTGTTTGTAGCTCAGATTTAAGGCTCAATTTGTTCGACTTTTGGTTATATTAAAAGAAATTTAAGTTAAGAATGTTTTTCTTTTGAATCTAATTTTTCAAAAATGTTGTAAATCTCAAAAAATAAATTGAACCTCCCCAAAACCAAATTTTTTTAAAAATTTTGGTTGTTTAATGGACAAAAACGCTCATCATTTACCGAAATTCATTTATCTTTGAATTTAAAAACCATTTTGAAATATTGAAGTGCTTTAAGAAAGGTTCAAGTCTTCATAGTCAAACATTTCTGGTGTTACCGATAATTTAAATATTTAATATATTAAAACACAACTTAAATTTTGTTTTGTTGACATTTTGATATCATTTGAGACAATTTTCATACCGTTTTGATAAAATTTCTCTTAAATATCCAAAGTTTTGATTAATTTTTTGTAACAATTTATATTATTTAATAATATTAATACAAAACAACATTTAAAGTAAGTTTAAAAGTGTTTAAAACATGTTAAAACAAAAAATAGATCAAATTTTAATTCTTAAGAAAAAATTATTTTTTTGGGGATTTTTATCTCAAAAAATTACTAATTGTTTGAAATTTCACCCAGACACCAAACACGCTAGTCTGTTAACATTTTTTTTTATTATTTCCTAAATATCCTTACTTATCCCAAAATATCCCCGATTATCCCAGATATTTTCATAGTTTCCACGCCTTTCCTAAATTCTTTTAAATCTCGAATCTATTCAACTCAAGTAGTCTTCACTCAAAAACAGACATGCTCTATAGATAGCAGTGCCTTAAAATAAAAGAAAATTAGACGAAAAGACGTCAGCATTGTTCAAAGGAAAGAATTCCTTTAAAATTACTGAAAATATTCAAGAAATTTATTATTGTGTATGATAATTAATACTTACAAATTTGTGGATAGATTGCTGCAGCTGTTCAAGAATAAAAACACAAGAAAATGTGAATTAAAGCCAAAATTTCGCAAGTGAAGATTTTGCGTTGAACTTTTTTTGGCGGGTAAATCTTTAATTTGACGAAAATTTTTTAAATTTTAACGTAAAATTTTGAGTTTCAAAAAATCGTCGAAAAAATTAAAACGAGCTTAGAATTGGAGTTTTGAAGATTAGACTAAACCTTGGTTCCTTATATCGTCAGATAACCAAAACTGTAATATAATCCACTCGCTAGATAAAATTACTATCTCAAATAAGAAAAAAAAAACTTTCCCTTTACACAAAAAGAGGTCCACGTGCCCATAAATCGAATTTAAATTTAAACTTTACCGACGCTACAGAACAACTCGTTGAAATTCTCAATTCGTTTGTCATCATTGAAGAAAATTATTGGCTTAATGACAATGACTTTAGACATTATTTCATTTTTCATTCTTATATTTTTGCCTCTCGTAAAATTACAAAAAATGAATTGAAGAGCAAAAAAGATGTTTAAATTATTACATTTTTCATCTTAAAGATGAATTAAGGAAGTGAAATATCTGAAATATTATTTTGTCATTGTTGTCTTCGCTTGTTCTATTTCAGAGATTTTCATTTAAATTTTTTTTTATGACATGCCCCAGATTTTTCTTATTGCATTTTTGAGATTGTTGGCTGATGCAGTTTTCTGTAGATTGATTGATGGCTTTATAATGCAATTTTGTAGGATTCAATTTAGTTTTTGTTTGACTTATTATTTAACGGTTTTCAAAAATTTGAATCATTTTGAATGTTTGAAAACCTTGCAAATGTTTCATACAACAACTTTTGTACGGTTCTTAACTGATTTTTCAATTTGTGAGGTTTTCGAACATTAATAGATCGAAATCATTTGTAAAGATCTCAATAATGAAGCATTTAAATCAGAGTTGCGAAACAGGTCACCTGTGACAGGTGAGAACCTTTCAATTCCTTGATAATTTGTATGGTTTTGTTAGAAATAGACAATTAGAACGTTACATACTTCTTGACCCCCCCCCCCCTTGTTACATTTTGTTACAATTTTTCAAACCCCCCCTCCCCCCTAAAGTGAGAACGTAATAAGTGAACGGCCCCCAAGTAATCTTTCTTTATTTCAAATTTGGAATTATTGTAGTTTAAGTTACATTTCTTTGAGTCTTATTTTGACACCAGCCTGAAAATGGCTTTAATTCAACTATATCTTGATTAATTATTAATTTTGATGAATGAGATTTACATATATCATGAAAATGTGGCATAAAAAGTTTAAAAAAATTGCCGAGCGAGAAAAAAAAAAAGCTTTTTTTAAGCTTATGATTTACGTTAATAAATTATTTTTGAACTGGCTTGTTCGGTGCTGGTGGGCAGCTCATGAAGCCATACTTCACTATGAGTTTAAATGCAGTTCCTTGAGGTGCATCCTTTGGGATCTTTCCGGCTTCGTCGACGAAACTGCAGAACTGATTTATTGCTTCTTCAATGTTGGGGATTCTCTTTAGACGTTCTTGAGCTTCTGTGAATTTCTTGAAAAGGCTTTCATTTTTTACTGCTTCGTTGAGTTTCTCTGCATAACTGATATTATTGATCAGTTGTTGCTGATTAATCTCTTCTTGAAATGTTGCTGATGAGTTACTTGCAGCATTCACTGGATGTGAATGAGCAGAAACTTGATGTCGTTTGCTTAACGATGGAAAATTGTTATTGTCCAAAAGACATGATATCTGTGGCAGCATTTTGAGTTGTAGTTTGGCTCTTGACTTTTCGATTCTCTTGGAATACGAAATGAACGATGGGCACAGTCTATAACTGGCAGCATGATCGCCATTGCAATTAATGCACTTGGCATTTCCATCACGAGTGGATCGTTGACATTGATTTGGTCCGTGAACTTCCGTGCACTTGACGCATCGGAACTTATATCCACAATTTTGAGATGAGTGACCCCAACGTTGGCAGTTGAAGCACTGCGTTGGGCTTTTGTTGCCCTTCTTGATGTTCTCCCACTTGACGATGATGTTGTCGATGTTACGGTGGTTATGATTGAGCAAGTTGATGTTCACACTTTTATCTTGAAAATGCACAAGATAAAAGGTGAAACCTTGGCTTCTTGAAGTAATCTTAGTACTTCATTCGTTGGTGCTTCGTAAAATCCTTTCAGAACGAATGACTTTGTTTTCTCCGATTTCTCGGAGAAAGTGTGAAATGGGATGCATTGATTACGCAATACGCTGATTATTGAGGCCTTGTCCTCAACATTTTTGACTATGACTTGTGTTGTAGCCGCTGATGAAATTTTAAATGCAGGCTTAACCTGCAAATTGATTTGTGAAATTATTTTTCTCACTTCATTAATATTTTGCTGGATGAACAAAGGCTTTTCAGCCTTTGCAGCTGTTACTGGAACTTCAGGTTCCGCCGTGGAGTTTTTTTTTCTGGAACTTGTTTTCTTTGTTTCTTGAGATTTTGTTTTGAACCACTCGGGATTTCATTAAAGTCCATTTTTTTCAGACTTAAATCCTGCTTTCTTTTGCGTCTCTTCATTCCCAATGGGCAGCAGACAGCACCGTGCACTTAAATAAATAGTTTAAACAACTATAAATAACTAGGAGACTATTTAATTAATTAAATGAAATTTTTTCACACGTTTATGCACGAGGGGCTTTGAACTTTTCTAATTACCCAAAATATTACAGTTTAAGCTGCAAAACATCCACGTCAATTCCTGTCAATAAATCATCAAAAACAGAATCAATTTAATTGTTTTCTTTCAAATATTATTTTATTATTTTTATTTAATTAATTTTTAAGGATGATTTAAAAAATTCTTCATTCATACAAGATTTATGTATCTAAAAAAATGTGTGTGTATGTGTGTATGTTTTCCCACTATTTCTTGCCATCTATTGACGATTTATCTTCTTCCTTTCTCTCTGTCGAATGAGATGAAAAATTAATGAAAAATTATAATAATCTATATGACTTCGTGAGATAATTTGTTTCATATTTGTGTGAATTATTCTTTCCCTCAAATATTATTATTATTATTTGAAAAATGACAGAATTTTTTTTTCTTCATCATAAGTTTTAAGACAATTTCATTCATCCGTCTTATAAAGATGATTTAAAGACAAAAAATAATAATGAAATCTTTTTCAAAAGACACGAAAACAAATTAATAAAGTCGGCTTTTGAAGACCAACAAAAATTGGTGCGCATTTTTCTGGATTTGTAGGGTTTTAAGGATATAGTTGCTTTCATTGCAATAGAAGTTATATGTTTTAATATCATTGATTTTTTGATGGACATTTGGCTAGTTAATGTCTAATTGTAAAGATGTCATATGAATAAAGAGTCAGAAACTTATCAAAATGTCCCAAAACTGATGAAATCTCAGTCAATTAGTTCCTCAAACTAAACTGAATGTCGACTTAGAGATGTAAAGCTTTGCTAGGGTTTGGCAGTGATAGATAAGTTAGATCAGGAAATGATTTACAGGATATAGATCCAGGGGCGTAGCCAGAAAATTTTTAAGGGGGGGGGGGGGCCATTTTCGAAAATTAAAAAAACCGTTATTTTGTATCCTTAAATCTATATTCATTCTTCATAAGTTCTTCATACATTAAATTTAATTTTTCGTGCTGATTTTGACATTTCTTTCATCACTTCCTCTACATTAACTGGTTCTTCTCTATAAATACTTAATAAAACAATTATCAGATTTTCGTAGGGGGGGCCGGGCCCCCTATGCCCCCCCCCCCCCTGGCTACGCCCCTGTATAGATCCTTAAAAACATTCTAGCTTATGATTGTTGGCCTTAAAAGATTTTTTGACGGTTATTTTTCAAATTTTAGCTAATCGTTTTTTTTCAAATATTTATTGACCGTTATTTTTCAAATATTTACTGACTGTTACATCCGAAAATCCCCAATTTCTTAAAATTTCAAATCATCAAAGTAGAACAGCCCCAAAATGCGGCCAAAAATGCACCCCAAACCTCTATAAATCCCAGAAAAATGCGCTAAATATAAAGGAGCGCGAAAAAAGAAATAAATGAATTGTGAAATAATGTTTGTTGTTGTTGTTTTTGTCACTCGTTTAAGTCTATAAGTAACGTCAAATTCTTTTTGTTTTAAAATAAATGTTTGTAAATCCCGTGGAGGAAGTGAGTGTGGGGAATCGAGGAACAGACTTCACTCCGACTTTTTATTCTTTCTCATTAGACTAACGAGAGCTTTTTGTCTAAGCTTCTTTTCTAAATCCTCATTCACATTTGATGTCTCTTCCTCTGATTCCGATGACTTTTCAACACTTACAGACTTTTTCTTTGACTTCTTTTTGCTATGCTTCTTATGCTTCTTGCTGCGCTTCTTTTTCTTTTCAATTTCCGATTCCTCGGACGACGATCCATCATGATATTTCTTCTTTCGTTTCTTTGACTTTTCTGATTCACTGTTTGAGACATTTTCATCATTTTTATTCTTAATTGGTCGATCATTATCAGCCTTTGTCTTTGCAGGTTGTTTATCTGCCTTTGATGATTTTGACATTACATCTTCTTTTCGTAATTCAAGTTTCTTTGCAGCAGGTTCAACAATTTTCTTTTCAGACGAATATTTGGCTTTCTTTCGTGCCTGTTCGTCATCATCTGAATCATCACTTGAATCCTGTTGTTTATCTTTACGATTAACAGGCAGTTGTGGGACATAATCCTTTCTTTCATGTGGTTTAAGGAACGGCGATGGTGTTCGTGATTGTGATGAGGATTTCCTTAAGTCTACAATTACTTTATCTTGTAGTTGTGCCGGTTCACGTCGATCCTTTTTATTCTCTTTTGCTATTTGATCATGATCAGTTCCATTATTTTCTAGCCGACTTTTGACTTTAATGACATCTTTTTCCTTAACTTCAGGTTCCCTTTTCTTAACTTTTTCAACATCATTTCGCTTTGGAACATCCTTTTCTGGTTGAATTGGCTTTTTACGGTCACGACTTTCTTGATCTGGTTCTGGTTCCTTAAATGCTGGTCGATTCCTTTCAATTCTGGGTCTTTCTTGATCATACGAGTCATTTTTGGAAGATTTTTTGAAATTATTTCGTTCAATTGGGTCAGTCTTCTTGGGACTGTACTTAGCTTTCGGCGGTGATCTGAAAAATTTGAAGTTACAATTAGCATTTTGATGAAAAAAAATTAACGGTCAAAAACATTTGAATTTTAACGGCCTTTCATAATTTAAATCACATTCAGCCGCATTTGCATGAAATTATGAATTTTACCAGCTTTTCGAAATTCGAATTGAGAAATAAGCCGCCTTAAAATGAACAATTCAAAATTTAACGGTTTTGAGAACTTAAGTTAAATATTCAGCCGCAATTACAACAAAAATTCAAAATTTAACGAATTTTCTAATTTTTTAACATCCAGCAATTACTCAAGAATCTAAAATTAAAGCACTTTACTAACCTAGATCTATTTCTGCGTGGTGACCGCGAAACACGGCGTACTTCTTGACGCGATCTTGACCTAGAACTGCTAATAAACATTAGAAAAAGCAATAAAATTAACTCTATAAACAAAATATGAACTTTCTTACCGCTTTTTCTGCCTAGGTGACCGTGAACGATATCGTGGGGAGCGATTTCTATAAACAAAATAATGAAAAAATTTGTTATTAGCAATTTAAATAAAGAAATTATGATTGACAATCATGCAATAGATATTAAAATATTTATTATTACGTTACCTCTTTCTCGAATTAGATCTGGATCGATAATTTCGTCGTCGTTGATTCCTGTCGCGTGCCCTATCATCATCTGATTCACTTTCAGACCTTTTCTTTGTGCGATATTGACGCACTTTGCTTGCAACAATTTCCGGTTGCTTACGTGGAACAACATCATTCTTTGAGCTTCGCTTTGCACTAATAGCAACTGGTGAACTGCTGGAACTACTTGAACTTCGTACTTTTGTTGGCGATGGCGATTTTGATTTACTTTTAGATGTTGAGCCATTCTTCTTATCTTTATCCTTATTTTTTGCCATATCCAATAGTTTTGACTGTAATTTTGACAGTTTTGGATTACTTTTGGATCTTGAGCGTCTATCCTCAGATACTGATCGGTCTCGACGTTTATTTCCTCTGGATACACTTCGTTCACGTCGATTCTTATTATTTTGAATCTTCGGATCTATACGCTCTTTAGATCTACGATATCTGTCACGAGAACGACTTCTTCTACGATTATTTCTGTCTCTAGACCTACTTCTATTTCTGGATCTACTTCTATTATTTCGACTGTTACGTCGTATACGATCTCTGGACCTGCTTCTACGTGATCGATCTTTTGAACGAGTTCGTCTATTTCTGTCTCGTGAAACACTTCGTCTGTCTCTGGATCTATCATTTTGACCTTTACGCTGCTTATCATCTACATCATGATCTTTTGACTTTGCCTTTCTTTCAACACTAGCTGATTTTTCCTTAAGCTTTTCTCTCTTATTCGCCTCAATTTTCATCTGATTTCTTTCTTTTATTTCATTTGCTTTCTTTATTGCTTCTTCAGGCGGAATTTTCTTTTCTGGCTGTTGCTTTTCATCCTTATCATTCTCACGTGAATGACTATCTCTTGATGATTTCCTTGGACTTGACGATCTTCGTCTGTCTCGATGTTCGCGCTTTAATATTTCATCCTTTTTCATTTCTATCATTTCTTTTGGGATTCCTGTATCTGATTCTTGAGCTGATAACAGTAGTGCCCATAGCTGCTCAACAAATATCTTTGCATTCTTGCCATTCAAAAAGCCGGTTAAATAAATCCTAAAATGATTAGTTTTGAGTCTGGATCTTTTTTATAAATTATTAATTAATTTGAACTTACTGTATCTTTTTTGGATTAGGGCATTTTGATTCCTCTAACTGGTTGATCACATACTCTTCAACAACATCGTCTTCAAGCTTTAATAGCTGTGTAATTTTGCTCGATATCCACGGTCTCAAAACATCCAATTTCACTTTTGTCATATCAACTTTTTGCTCAAGAATTTTGTCAAATTTCAGCTCCTTCATCAACTTCTTCTCTTTATCGCTGAATCGCGTATCTTGGCTAAGACTGGTTCCCTATTAATTAATCAATTTGGATGGTTAAAAAATCAATAAAAATTTCAGTGTTAACCAAGCGTACCGGAAAAATTGAAATTCCAGTGAAAATACAGAATTATAGAATGAATGAACATGATATACTTACTGAAAACATTATCATTTGTAAGCCTTTTTGTTTTTCACTCAAGTAATTAAACTAGAAAAGTTATAAAATGTAATTTTACTTCTTTTGTGGATTTTTCAATTTTTTTTTGATCACTCGGGGTGCAAACTATGACATTTTTACAACCTGATGAGGACTGATTGGAAAATGACAGTTGATTCGAAAAATTTGAATTTTTCCCGCACTTTTTGTTTCGAATTTTTCGAACTTTAAACTGAAATTCTTGTTTAAAAGGTTAATTTTGGGTGTTTTGAAAGTGAATATGTGAGATTAATGCATACACATGCATTGCGAATGAAAACATCATAAAAAAGGGCAAATAGGCATGAAACACTTCAAAAATAATTCGAAACAGAATTTTTTTCATAGTTCTCGAAATTTGAATTTTTATTAACCGTTGAAAACTTCATACAATCAAAATAGTCAATTTCATCAATATTAGATGCTAGTTTTTTGTTTAACTCATTTAATATAGCTCATAGTTACATATCCACATCAAAATCAGTTCTCATTTCCATCCAATAAAGCACAAAGAATGTCTTCAAAAATTAACGGTTTCAAGAAATTCAAACATCACAGTTTGTTTTGATTATTTTTATTTTTCGTCAAATTCCTCATAAATTTAATTTTACTATGTTAGCAAGGACTGTAAGGCATGTCCTTCAAAATAGATCCTTCCACACGACGCCTATATGCACAACATTCTGGGTAAAGAGTAAGAAACAAGGTAAGAATTCTTAAAAAAAGAGATTTTATGTAATTTCGACTGTTTTGCAATGAAAATTTTAATCAATTAAAGGATATGAGAAGGAACAGCCACTTTTGCCGACCAAGAAGATGATTTTGGAAGGGCTTAAGGATCTTAAAGATGAAATCATCATGTGGAAAGAGGAAGTAAAGGAAAAATTAGAAACAGATCCAATTCTGATTTACAGACCTAATGAAATTGATGTTTATTGTAGATTTAACAGTAAGTACAGCTTTGATCCTTGTTTCTACAATTTATTAATGTTAATGTATCTCATTCCAGCTAGAGAAGAAGTCGAGAAATGGATAGTAACAAGTGACAGTGACCACAATGAAGGATACAGTCGAGCAAATTTTGAACTAAGTACAGCCGGTTATGGACTATTTAATGGGATTGTGACAGCAAATTTACCAAAAGACGGTAGAATAAAGAAAGCAGGATACGCGAGCATAAGAAGTCAACGACATACAAAGTCTTTCAGACGAAATACATATTATGATTGGTCAACATATAATACATTAGTGCTACGTGTACGAGGAGATGGACGACCGTACATGATTAATATCGGAACTGAGGGAACTTTCGATGTAACATGGAATGATATTTATCATTTTGTATTATACACACGTGGTGGTCCTCATTGGCAAATTACAAAAATACCATTTTCAAAGTTCATCTTAGCATCAAATGGTGTCGTGCAAGATAAGCAATTTCCTATACCTCTAAATAAAATTACAAGCTTTGGATTTGCTGTATCGGGTCGTGGTGGTTTTGACGGTCCATTTAGTTTAGAAATTGATTATGTTGGACTCGAGTATGATCCATCAAATATTGAAGAATTTGCTTATGAAATGTATAAACAAGAGAAATATATTGTGGCTACGTGAACATTGCATGTAATTATGATTATTTATATGATAATTTGTGGATATAAAAAATTGATGTAGAATATTTGAATTTTAAATGGTTTGGTATGATTTTTGGATGTTAATTATAAGCTTAATGTGTCTTGGTTTACAGGATTTCAGTGGAATTGGGAGCAATTTTCAAAGAGTCAATTTCCATCTTACAAAAGAGTTTGAGGAATAAGGAACAATATCAAGATTTTAGACTTATGTACGCTTGTTGAACTTTAACTAAGCTATTTTAACTTAGATATCTACTAATTTTGAAACAAATTAATCCAAAAATATGAAATTTGAACAAAGTGATTTTGGAAAAGATTGAGTCTATTCGACTTGACTCTGGTTTGGAGATTTAAACTTAAAAGGAGCAATTAAGAATCACAAAGAAAACATCTTATGATCATTGTAATCTGTGAACAATCCAAAGAGAATTAATCGATCAAGTCTTCAAACAACCAAGAACATTTGAATCTAAGATATTAAACATAAATTGCAATCAAGATTTCCAAAAGATCACAAAACAAGACTATTTGAAAGAACAAAACATGATAAACTGATATTCAAGAAATCCTAAGATGTAAAGTTAAGATGCGCCTAACCTACCTAAATCACATCTATTACGAAACTGGGGTAAACTTCTGTTAAGAATACAGGATTTCAGTCTCAAGAGTAACAACGTTTATTTTGAAGACTTCAACGACAATCAAACTTTGATTCAATGAAATTCTAAAAGAACTATAAAAATTCTTTATCAAGATGTTCCAAAAACAAGAAGACAATCTCTAACTAGAAGATAGCAAGCAACTATCACCAAGATATCAATTCCAACATAACACAATCCCTTCAATAAGAAGTAAAATCTCCCACAACTCAATCAAAACAGACGCCAAATAAATTTCCTCAATTCAAAAATGATCTGATTAATTATCACACTTCAATTTGCCTTTCATTTTCCGTTCATTCAATTTCAATTTCAACTACAATTAAGTGAAGAAGAAAAAAATTATAAAAATCGAAGCTCGGAAATAAATAAAGTAGAAAAAAAATCATGTCGTAAAGAAAAGAAAAAAAAAAAATCAATTCACGTACAAGTAATTCAATTAGAGAAGGAAGAAGCGAACCAATGAGAATGCGACATTCGTCTCATTTTTCTTTCCTTCATCCAATCCACTTCAAACGGAGGAGGTATTATTTTACTCTTCAAGTTCTCCCCTCGGCTTATAAAGAAAAGAAGAATATAATATATTGTGTATATACTTTTATTTCATTCTCTATGTGCTCGCTCATAACATATTTGATCTCTCAAAAAAGAAGACGTATCGTGTCGTTACTTAGTACATTGTCTACCTATTTAAAAAAAAACATTTGAAAGGGAAATAAGAAGAGTCAATTTGTAATAATAATTGTGTATTTATTGAATGTAAAATACTTACGATGAAATTAGAAACTGTCATCATATCAATCGGTTCGGATGTGTTGTAACTTTATCGTGGAACTGTCAGAAAAATATAAATCAGTGCAATAGAAATCTTGTGGATTTAAAATAAATTAAATAAAAAAAATTAATAATGGATTTAACGGAAACATCACTTAAGCTATCGACAACACCATTCTCAATTAATGACATATTAACAAGCAATAATCATCATCAGAATATATCAAAGAAAATCAAGCAATTTTGTCGATTTCGACGTAGCTCATTGGATTGTTTTATCGTTTCTAAGGATGAGGAACAGAACAATGTAAAGTCGACAGACAGCAGTGAAAAAAATATAGTGCAATTATTGAATAGTAATCCAATTGATATGCGAAGACGTCACAATATATCAGGTAAATTGTGCTGCTTCCGATTATTTTTCGAGTAAAAGTGTCTGGCTGGTAAACAGCAATTAGGCTAATGACCCTCGAATTTACTTTATTTCCATTATAATTCGCATGTCACACGTGCGACATTTGTCACGGGACTATTATCATCGTTCAATAGGTATCACCTTTAAAGGTGGCACCAAACAAAAAAAACTTTATAAGTCAATTTTGATTGTCTCGTATGCTAATATCGATGATATTCCATTTATATCGTGTAGATTGTGAAAGTCCTACCCTCACTAATTATCCTATGAACAATAAGAGTGACGATGTTAATTCAAGTCGGAAGAAAAGAAGTCGTGCGGCATTTAGTCATGCTCAAGTTTTTGAACTCGAAAGGCGGTTCGCTGTACAGAGATATTTGAGTGGTCCGGAACGAACGGAGCTTGCAAAATCACTTAGATTGACTGAGACACAAATTAAGGTAAAAATTTATTCTTATAAACCTGATCAAAGTTGAAGGTTTTGGCCTTTGAGCCTTAACTAGCTTCTTCGGACTCACTTAGACATCCCCTATGCATCTTAGATAACCATACAATTCCTTCAAATCCCACAGATTTGGTTCCAAAATCGACGCTACAAAACAAAGCGAAAACAAATTCAGCAACATGAGGCAGCTATAATGGCAGCAACAAAACGAGTCGTTCCTGTTCAAGTTCTTGTTCGAGATGATGCAAATTACTGTCGAATGATGTCTCAAGCAGTATCACCTGTATCGTATTCTTCAGCTGGAAATCCAATTGATCCTTCATTGTTTAGTAAACTCAGTTTGACAGATATTTATAGGCAGCAGGTAATGGAACAGGTATTTTTGGGGTTGCATTATGTTTCTTAGAAAATTTGAATTGACATTTTAAAATTAGTGATTTTTGGTGCTTTGCTAGTTGAAATTCAAGAATTTTTGGATATAAAGCAAGGAATTAGTAGCAAAAAGTCAAAAATCACCCATTTTAATGTCAAGTTTTAAAAGAAATACAAGAAAACTTTCGTTAAACCAATAAAATTTATCTCATCTATCCTTAAAACAGTTCCAAATGGCCTACGGGATTCCACCTCAACTCTATCCCTACCTTTACGCACCAAAATCATCACTAAATTTGCACACATCATCACTTGAGTCGTCAGAGAGTTCAATGCACAATTTACGGCATAAAAGCAGTAAGGAATACACAGATGATGCCGAAGAGAAAACAACAGAAGAAAATTTGAGCTCGAAAGAAACAGAAGATGAGGTTTTAGACGAAAATGAAAATGTAGAAATTGATTAAATTATCTTAAATACATCAATTAATAAAAAAAAGGTTTTAAAATGCATAAAAAGTTGGATTTTCATTTCCACCTCATAAGACACTTGAGTTTCCAGATCGGAGCTGTTGTGTTAGGTGTCTGGGAGTGGGAAACTGTCTGATTTTGGGGAGATACGCTCATTATAACCAGTTTTGTATCATGACTAGCTTTTTCAAAGGGTTTTTGTAAGGTTTTTTAAACTCAGAAGTCAGCATGGATAGAACTTAGATTAAGGAATGCTTTAAAGTCTCAAAAAGATGCAACCAAGGTAGAAATCTATGTTGAATGAAATTCCTATCCTAGAAATATCATCTCTTACAAATGAAGCTACACTAACCTCAAACCCCAACTCTGATCCAGACATTCCAATTAGTGTGTGGTTTTTCGGGAGTAATTTTGCAATTATTGAGGAATTAAAAGAATGATTTCGCCACAAAATATCATTCAAAGATTGATTATAAAGTAGTAGTTAAGTGTATTCATAAATTAAAATCAATAAAAATTCATTTGCCTCGTATTTGTTTCCCATTCTCAATCGTCCATAGTAAAGGGTAGAGCAAATGCCAGAGAAATCTTAATGCTTAATAGATTATAGATTGCCACTTATGATCCATTAACTAATTAGAGTGTTTTCTAACATGATAAACGTGTTGATTCTATGAGAAATTTTGAGTAGTGTGTTAATCCTTTTCCAGTTCTAGGTCAGATGGAGTTTGAAACTTCAAAAATCCATACATACAAGCATGATTATAAAATTGGATACTTAAATTAAACGAGTCAATTTGGAATTCTTATGTCATCAATCTCTGCCTGCAAAGCGTTGGTTCTCTCTTTGGCTTTTAAGGCACTTGAAACAATTTTCTTCCCTCAAGTGTTGGTGATTAACCTTGTTGAGAATATTTTTTTTTTTTCTTAAACATTCATAATTTTGTTGAATGTGATAATTGAATGCTTACAAATTTATTTTCGTTAATTCCACTTGAAAAATTCATTTTGTTGGGAAAAATTGAGAGCATGTTGTCGGTATTTGTGGAAATATTTGGACATTTAAAGCAATTTTTTTGGCTTTAATGATTTATGAGGTTTATGGCTTCGTATAATTCTAAAGTAGAAATCATTGTCAGGAGGTTGAAGAGAAGATGAATGAATTTTCACACGAGGATTGAACAGAAGCGATGTTGTATCTTTATTGGAATCTGAAGTTGTTTTGGTGCTGTCTGTGACAATGTCTCTGGTTTTAATTGATGTTGAGATTTATTTTTTGTGGGATCAAAGTTAATATGGGATTCACTTTGGAGTCAGTGTGGACAATATTTTGAGGTTAAACTCTATTCAACCTTCAGTAGTGTTCAATATTATCTGACAGTAGATTTTCTGCTTAAATTTAAGTTGAAATCAAGTGATTAGCTTTGATTAAACTAAGAAAATGGCTCTCTGTAATTGAATCCAAACTTTAACTCTTAATTTATAGACAGTTCCATCTCAGTCTTTTAACATCAATCCAAAAATAACCCTGAATTTTTCCTCAGAACTCCGCCAACCTCTTCCCTCGCTGATGACTTCATGCAAAAATATTTTTTCATCAAAACCGAGCATTTTTATGAAGCAATTCTTATTATAAGTAGCATCTTATACAGCAAGTGTAGATTCCTATGAATCAACAAAAGAAGGCAGGCAAAGAAGAAGAACATTCATCATCAGACTTCATAAAAATTCAATCCATCTCTACTTTATTGTCTTTCGTCTTATAAACAAACCATTGTGACTCCCTTAATTGTTTATATTCATAAACAAAAAAAATTCTCTACAAGATCATAAAACTCTTGAAGTAGGAAAAAAATATGAAGAGATAAACTTGCTTTATGGGACCGTATAATAATAACAACAAGTTACTTGAAGTACAACAACAGACAACATAAAATCAATTCGGACTATAATATTTTTATTTTTAGTGTAGCTATTTGAAGTTAAGAGAAGCTAATATCTGTAGTTTGTCTGTATGTCTTCTGGTTTGAATAAATTTCATTAGTATTTAAGCTTAAAACACTTGTGCTATGTTAAGGATGCGACTTGCTATTCATCTTTTGTGGTTTGATCACTTCCTCTCCTGAAATTTGATCAAAAACTTTTTGAGGTGGACTAAGTATTCGTTACGTAAAAATACGTACGTAAAATTTTTTTGTTTCAATTCTTTTTTGATTTTTAAGGTTTATTCAAGGTGGCCTACCTTACTCATATTCAATTATCACTCATACCCAAATTTATTTTAGGGCAGGCCCTAGAAATATAGCTAAACTCAAGCAAAATGCGCTTTAACCACTCACATGCATCCACATCTACTCATCTCTCTGAATAGTTCTTCACTCTCGTCAATTGGCCTGTGAAATATGACTCTCCGATTATGAGTGCATATAATATGAATGAATGAATGAATTTCGAATGAACAAAAAAAGCTGTTTTTTAATGTGCCTTAAAAGTGGTGGAAGTCAAGTTAATACTGTTTATTTGTAATATAATACGGTTTAATATTTATTTTAAGGGGGGCAAAAGATGTTCGAGTATAAGAACGTCGTCTGATCTTCGTGACTGTCATCATAACAATAATAATCCTAAAAAATATTGAGCAAGAGAGAGAAAAATTATCTCTTTAAAAGTCAATTAAATGTTGAAAGTTTTTGAGATCATCTACAATAAATTGAATATCAATTTTCATAAGCATGTGTTGTGATTTTGTATTTAATTAGCAATGGAGCTTCTAATATTGAATTTGCAAAATTAAGTTTCTAAGACTTTAAGTAAGTTGCGGATCATTGATTGATTTAGTGCATAGTAAAAGGTTCGAATCCTTAAACTGTTTAAGTAGTGTAAGAAATATAGTTTCGTAATGTTGGACTTATATTTATGATTAGATCGATCTTAATAATGGACGTCATGATTGAATACTTTTACCTTATTAGTCCAGGCCCTATCTCTAGCTTGCAATGCTCCTAAAAAACACAAAAAAAAATAAATTTTCGAAAAATCTGACATTATTTCCCACTACACCTCTAACAATACATTCAATTCTAAAAATACACAATTTAAGTAAAGTTAAAAACGCGTTAAAGTGTTTCTCAATGGCCGCTCACTTGCTCTGCTCATTTCATTTCAATATCTTATTTTGTAAATTTTTTAAAAGAAAAAGAAGAAAAATGCCAAATGAAAATAATAAAAAAAAGTTGTTCATTTTAAAAGCATTCTCTATTTCACACCACCGCAAACTCAATTCAGGAAAGGATTGTTTAAAAGATTGAAAAAAATTATTTTTTTAAATTGCTGCACATGGTTTTATTTTACTTACTTTTGTGTCGATTGGAAACAATAACAAACTCGGCTTTAAATCCATTAAAATAGATTGTATGATTTAATTGTTCCTATCTTCTGATGATGTTCACTTTTCCTACGATTGAAAATAAATCTAAACACACAAGATAATAATATTACATTACTGTACGATGATGTGCAAAGGCCTTTGTGAAATTTGATCGTGTCTGCTTTGTTTTTTTTTTTTGGGGGGGTATATGAATGATAATTAGTGAAATATTTGAATTGATTTTTATTTTTTGTAACTTAATCAGTAGAATGAGTTTGAATGCTCTCTTGATGAGATACTTAGATAATCGTAAAGTTGTTGGGATGTAAGTGCTGATTATTCAGATTTAGGGAATTTTAATGGGATTTATCATAAATTTTTTAATTCAATTTGATGATTTTTTTTTTGAGAGATTTGAAAGAGGTTTGACGTAGAATTTAAGTACAGCTATAATTTGGCTTAGCAACTATTGAATCTTATAACATAAAGTTGCAGTAAATTTGAACTAGTAACTATGTATCTTGAACTCAAATCCATCTCATCAAAAATAACCAAAATCTCAACAAAAACAAGCCATTTTTATAGTCTTTAAGTTTTGTACTGTTTTTCTTTTCACATTTTTCTAATTAAATTGTGTGTTTAAGTAAGTAAAATGAGAAAAGATTTGGTTACATTTTGATAGATCTATATAATGTGTATTTTAAGCAATTCATGTCGAAATTTCTTTTCTTTTTTGCTTTTCATTACAATTTGTGTGTGTGTGTTTTCTCTGTAAAGGAAGTTCAATAAAACATTCTGGCCAATTCAATTAACTTTATCGCTTGAATAGGGTGTCTATTGATATTATTTTTTTTAAAGAAAGAATTGAATTTGTCGGGATATGAGCTGAAGTAGGGGAACATGTGGGAAAGTTCATTCAAGCGGAGGTAGAAAGTTGATTATTGTGTAATAATCCAAATTTTTTGCATCTTTAAATCAGCTTTTAGACTATTTGATAAAAAATAAGGTGTCTCTTGTGATGAACTGCCCTATATCGGTTGAATGATCGTGTGCTGTGTGCTAGTTCTTATCATTCTCTAGACAATGATTGAGATATCGACCCACTGATGGGAATCAAACCTCCATATTAACACAATATGAATTTCAGATATCCGATATGACTTAACAACTCGACACCTACGGCTTTATTGTCTTACTTGCAGATTAGCTTACATAAGGCTCAATATTCCAGATGTGACTATGCTCAGACATTACACTAGGAACTCTATCAACTACTCTTCTCGTAACTTATAACTTCAACTTGCTTATAGTAATCCATGATTATAGTCCAAGAAACTACTAGTGTAATAGCTAGTTAACAAACTTAGGCTAGCTAACCTAGTGTCCTAAGACTAAGATAGGATAAAGATTGAACTATATATTATCCAAGCCCGGTACACTACAAAAACAACTCAGCTACCCCTATCTTTGAGTGAATTAAAAAGCATCAAAAAAAAAGCCAAACCAAAAAAATCAAGAGAAATATCGTTTTGCGTCATTACATTCTGTGCTAATGTGTTGATATTAAAAACCAAATTTTTTTATTTCGTTTAAAAGGAAAAATTTTAAAATCTCTTCATCCATTCATTC